TGTCACCTCCTCCCTGTCCCCACGGCCTGCCAGCGGCTGGGCCTTCCGGGCGCAGATGCAGAGCGGCCTGCGCAGGGTGAGCCCTGAGCCTCGGGTGGGTGTGTCACGGGGCACGCGGGCTGCGGGGTGCAGAGCTGAGCCCCACGGAAGGCCAGTCCCTCCCCTGTGAGCCCCAGTTAGTCCCCGGACCATTGAGGTGTCTCACGTGAGCCAGCCCACAGCGTCCCTGCCTCCGGCGACGGACATGCTCTCTGTCTGGCTAAGGAAGCAGGACAGGGACAGGGACCGAACCAGCAAGGGGTCAACGAAGACGCAGGAACTAGAACCAAGTCGCAGCGCGAAGCCTGGCCTGGCCGGTGCTTCCCGATCCCACCAGCTTCTGCTCGACGCTGGGCCTGCGCCCGGGCTCCCGGCTTCCTTCCGCCAGTCCATCCCCCCCGACCCCCCCAAACACACACACGCACCCCTCCGCTCCACTGCCCATTGCTTTCGGAAGGACAGGGTTTGGAGGAGACGCCGGGTCCTCGCCAGCCCCTGTGGCCCCCACACACAGTCACAAAGACTTTCTCGATGTGTCGGCCTTACCTGTCACTGGGAACTGGGCCTGCAGGACGGTCGCGATGACAAGCGCCTCCCACTTCATGCTGTCCGTCCGTCAGTCCGGAATGTGCTGGGCGCAGGGGCCTGGCAGCCGTGCGGGACGAGTGACAAAGGGAGTGTGCGCTGGTGGCTGGGGCGGCTCCTCAGGAAGTGGAGGACTAGGCCTCTGAGAGGCAGGCACCTGCCAGCAGCAAGGCTCACACCCCCTCGGGCCACAGGCAGGAAGCTCTGGAGGTTTGAGGGTTTGGGGTGTGTGTGTGCCTGCCTGCCTGAGTCTTGCTCTTTCTCTCACTTACCATTGTTTCATTTTCCTTCCCCTGCCCCCTAACTTTGGTCTCATTTTTATCTAATTCCTACCTTAATTGGTGACATCGGTCGGATGCATGTAGGGACACGCCGTTTCCCTAGACTTGCTGTTATGGTGGTGGGTGAGACGAGGGCTCTGCTGCAGAGTCAGGCTGAATGGAGAGACAGGCTACTTGTGCGTTCACAGCGTCCCTGCTACCGGCTTGTTGTGTGGCTTTGAGTAAGTCACTCAACATCTCTGGGCTTCGGTGCCCTTATCTATAAAGAAACTGAAGGAGTAGGTCTGAGCTTGCAGTTCTGAACGTGGCCTGCATTTGGAGCTTTCATAGATGATGGTGGGAGTGTAAAATGGCACAGCCATCTGGGAGAACAGTTTGGCGGGTTCTTAAAAAGTTAAACATACATTCTCCGTCTGATCCAGCCACCCACTCCTCAGTATCTACCCAAGACAAAAAGAAATATATGCCCATAGGAAGACTTTACATAGTTACAGCAGCCCTAGCAGGTTTGGGTCAGTGGATAGAGTGCCGGCCTGTGGACTGAAGGGTTCTGGGCTCAATTCTGGTCAAGGGCAGGTGCCCGGGTGCAGGCTTGATCCCCAGTAGGGGGCAGGCAGGAGGCAGCTGATCAAAGATTCTCTCTCATCATTGACGTTTCTATCTCTCTCTCTCTCTCCCTTCCTCTCTGAAATCAATCTATATATTTAAAGCCTAAGCAACCGTTCGACTGGTAGCAATGATGAGTACTGACCACCAGGGGGCAGATGCTCAACACACAGGCATGGAAACATGGAACAGACTGATGAATCTCGAGGGAAGAGGGAAGTGGGGAGGGCGGGAAGAGAGTAACCAAAGACCTTATATGCATACTAGAGGCCCGGTGCACGGATTCATGCACCGGTGGGGTCACTCAGCCTGGCCTGCGCCCTGTGCCTGCAACCCAGGTACATGCCCTTGACCGGAATCGAACCCGGGACCCTTCAGTCCGCAGGCCGACGCTCTATCCACTGAGCAAACCGGTTTCGGCCAAAATATATTTTTTAAAAAGAGTCACAGCAGTTCTATTTGTAAAAGCCCCAAACCAGAAACCACCAAAATATTTGTGAGCACGTGGATGGATAAACCGGCCATGGTGTTTACATTTTTGAGAAAATTCAACCTATAGGTTACCAATTGCTAGTTGAAGCAAAGGAAAGTAAATCAACTAGTATTCCTTAGTTTTTTTTTTTTTAAATATATTTTATTTTTTACAGAGAGGAAGGGAGAGGGATAGAGAGTTAGAAATACCAGTGAGAGAGAAACATCAATCAGCTGCCTCCTGCACACCCCCTACTGGAGATGTGCCCGGAACTAGGTACATGCCCTTGACCGGAATCGAACCTGGGACCCTTCAGTCCGCAGGCCAATGCTCTATCCACTGAGCCAAACCGGTTAGGGCATTCCTTGGGTTTTTATTGTTTCCTATTTTTAAAATAGTTTTAAAATTGATTTTTAGAGAGAGAAGAAGGGAGAGGGAGAGAGAAACGTTGATGTGAGAAGGAAACATTGATCGGCTGCCTCCAGGCCTGTGCCCTGACTGGGAATTGAACCAGCAATCCCTTTGGTGCACAGGATGACGCCCAACCAACTGAGCCACACCAGCCAGGGCTTTATGGGGTTTTAGAATCCAAAGTTACCAGTAAACTCAAGTCAATGACACTCTTACCTGTCGGATCTGGGCACTTTCACACCTGCTTGTAGGACTAAGTGGTAGAAATTCTCAGGAGCAGTTTACATGTACCAACTGCTTTTTCCCGTGGCCGGGAATCTCTCTAGGAAATAAACATGGATGTAGAATACCATCCTATCTAATAAAGAGGTAATATGCAAATTGACCCTCACACCCTCGCACAAGATGGCCACCCACATGTTGTCAAAAGATGGCCACCACAAGATGGCCAGCAGGGGAGGGCAGTTGTGGGCGATCAGGCCAGCAGGGGAGGGCAGTTGTGGGCGACCAGGCCAGCAGGGGAGGGCAGTTGGGGGCGACCAGGCCTAAACCAGCAGTCGGACATCCCCTGAGGGATCCCAAATTGGGGCTGATGCAGGCTGGGCTGAGGGACACCCCTCCCCAGTGCACAAATTTCGTGCACCTGGCCTCTAATTGATGTATAAATTGGTCTGTCTCTCCAACAGGGAAAAATCGGAAGTGACTTATATGTCCCCACACCGGGGAGTGGTGACAGCATTGAGCTCAGCCTGGCCCTATCCCTCCCATTGACGGAGCTTCTCTGGTTCCCCCAGTCCCTGTGGTTCTGACGGGGACTGAGCTGAACCCCAAGCTGGGGAAGGACCCAGGACCCGGGCTGCGCCAGTGAGGGCACCCCACTCCCAGCCACAGTGACCATTCAGGAATGGCTCCCTCCCAGGCTGGGAAGGATGCTGCCTCTTCACTCTACGATTGCTGACTGCAAGTGAAACCAACTCGGCGGGAAGAGGGCCAGGGCATGAAGGCGAGCTTTGAAGGAATATGTAAGGTCAGCGAATTAAAGGGCTCTGATTAGGGCTTCTGTCACTAGCAACAGGGCTAATACAGGCCCATTGTTGATCTGATGAATATTCTGTAGCCACCCAGCCATCCTTACGGACTCTAGTAACAAGCTTATGACTAAGTGAAAGAAGTGAGATACACAATCAATGATCTTATTATTCAATGTTATAGTTAGGCATTTATTGGAAGCAAAGATTGGAAGAAAACACATAAAAATGTTAGCAGCTATGCTGGCTGGTGAGGTGGTCATGTTTTAAACTTTTTAAATTTTCCATATTTTTCACACATCTTCCAATAAATACTAAGGGAATACTAAGAAAAAGATGAAGTTTTACTGGTTGATTTGTTCGTCCTCCATTCTGCCTTCTCAGATAAAAATGTACAGAGCCCCAGCTGTGAAGTGATGGTTTGGAATTTCCCTAAGAAATACTGACACCAGCTTGACACAGAGTACGGTGGTTTCTGTTCTCAGTGCGAGGATGAAAGCAAGCCCGTCACAGGGCAGCGTCCCCTCCTCCGTCGCTGGGTGCTCTGTCACTGGGTGCTCCGTCACTGGGTCCTCTGTTACTGGGTGCTCCGTCACTGGGTCCTCTGTCCCTGGGTGCTCCGTCACTGGGTGCTCCGTCGCTGGGTCCTCTGGGTGTCACTGAGGGAAGCGTGATAGGAACGAGGTGGTCAGGATGTTTGTGCTTTGCCTTCACTGGGCCCGCCCCCTTTCACAGGGAGTTTCTCGTCTTCATTGGCTGTTAGCAGGATCCAAGGCGCTTCGGCTCCTCGGTCACTCCCTCTTTCTACTTTTCATTTTCTCTTTTCTTGATCAGAACCGGCCTTGCCCTCTGGGCCAGTGGCTGTCCCCGTCCCAGGCACTCATGCCCTTGCAGGTTGAGGCCAGGACTCTGTCCCTCTTCTGCAGGCTGTGGGGTGCAGGGGAGGGAGCATGAGACCAGGTGTCGCCTCCTGTCCCTTCAGAGCTGCCTTGCCCCAGTCATCACCACCCACAGTATCACTCAGCTCAGTGGTGAGAAGCAACTGGCGCCTACACAAAAAGTGGTCTGCAGTGCCCTCTGGTGGTCAATAACAGGAACATATTCTGCCCATTCAACCTGTACCCCCTGCTGTGACCCAGTGGTTGTCTTTCCTGTGATCACGGGTATGTTTTTACATGGCACCAAGTGGTGAAGACAAAACTCCCACTAAATAGGCAGAGGGGAAAAAAACAGATAGGTGCCCTCAAACTAATTCCACCACAAGCATGTCAGCACCGAGGCCCGGGGGGCAGCACCTTGACCAAGGCTGCATTCTGGCCTCGCCCCCAATTCTAGGACACCATGAGCTGTGTATCAGAGCGAACGGGCCGAAGGATTCCCTTGAAGCGTTGAAGCAGAGTTTGACTCAACAGCATGCTGACATAAAGACACGAAGGATCGACAGTGGCCGGTGAGAGTAAGGAATATGAGCATCTTAAGAAAATGAATCCAACTCATGTCATTAAAATAATGCTTTTAATTATTGATGCTTTGAATAAGAAACCCGTTTTACCAAGGTTAATGTAAATCATTTCTCTTTTTCTATTTTTAATTATTTTTCTTCACCAGAGGCTGTTGGCTGGGTTTCGGGTGAGTTCATTTGTTGTCTTCAAACATAATGACGCATGTCCGCTCCTTTCTCTGAGCCAATGAGGGCTCTGCGGGGATGCCTGGCACGCCTCTATGGGGGATCTCATCTCGTCTCCTGAAACCATGTATATAAGTAAAAGTACAAATTTAAATGTCTAAAATTTAGCAACCTCATTTCCAAGAAATTCAGTAGCAGTTCCACTTGATGCTGTAACCAGGCTGATCTCCGGGACCTTTCCCACAGGGGGCCCCAAAGCCCTCGGGTCTGTATGAAACATCCTAAGAACTTCACTGGGTGGTTAAATCTGCCAAATGCTGCTTCACCTAAACCGAAGGAGAGAGGATGAAGGATTATTTCATTAAATGAGCTGACATCTTACAAGGTAGTTCATTCTAAGGAAAGACTAGAGACACTTCTAACAGTTTAAGATTCTGAGCTAATTTCCGCTGCTCCAGTGTGGTGAGCAGTGCCTGAGACTGGAGGTCTGTATCCAGGTGCCCCTGAATCTTCACGCCAGCCTGCACCCTCTTGTGCAAGGCTGCTGCGGCCACGTGCGCGGACATAGCGCCATTCAGGCTGTGAGGTTCTCTACTCAGAATATCTGAAGGTTTAAAAGACAGACACAGTTGAGGACAAAGGCTCCTGAACGTTAGGGCAGAGGAGCATTAACCAGCCCAGTGCCGGATGGTGTTGAGTCCAGCTGGGACCCTTTTCCTGTTGCGGCTGGGACCACGGCTATCAGGAACTCCATCTCCCAGCATGGGAGGCCGGGCAAGTTGGTAACCCGTGACCTCTCCTTACCTGTCCTTACTAGGGCCAGGTGGGCACAGCCGAGGAGATGGTACGAGGCCTGGTGCTCAGACTGAACCATAAGTGGAGGCAACTGAGGAAACTGCTTATCGAGGGCGCCAGCAAGCACCTCTGTAAACATAAAACCTTCATTCCATGTGCAGATGTGCCCATGGCTTCTGCCCCAGCAGCCCAGCAAGGCAGACCGACATCCGTGAGCCCCTCACTGCCCAACCCCGGGCGTCTGTGCTGAGCCATCTCAAAAGACGCCTCTGAGAGCAGCGGAGTCTAGGGTGCAGGCAGCTTCATGGCGTCTGGAGAAGTCACATCCTCCAAGTCTGACCTGGACGACACCACGGGGCAGGAGCTCCCACAGCCCCTGGGAGGGGTCCCTAAGAACGTGCAGCCCCTACGGGTATCACTGTCCACTCCCCGGACCAGTGGACAGTGCTGGTGGCAACCCGAGTGGGCGGCATGGTGGTGGGGCCACTCCCGGACTCTGTGCCTGCCTCAGAAGGGCCACGCCCTGGCACGTCTTTGGTCTCCCCGACAGAGGACACGGAGGACGTGCGCCCGCTTATCTCTCAGCTGCAGAGAGGCCACTCGCCTGTGAAGTGAGAACCTCGGGTGTGTCTCACTCACTCAGCATGGAGAGTTGGAGAAAACATCTGTATTTTGTTATTAAAGTGAGCATCGCCCCTGGGCGTGTTACTTATACAAAGACTACAGGCCCGGTGCACGGATCCGTGTACCAGTGGGGTCCCTCGGCCTGGCCTGCAGGGATCGGTCTGAAACTGGATCTCTGACATCCGCTGGGGGTCCCAGATTGCGAGAGGGCGGTTCTCGGGTGACACACCCCGGAATCGGGCTCCCTCCTCTCTGGTTCTGGGTGCATCACCCAAGAACCACAGCTGCCAAGTCAGCTCCTGCGTTGAGCGTCTGCCCCCTAGTAGTCAGTGAGCGTCATAGCCGGTCAGCCAGGCACTTAGGCTTTTATACATGTAGATAACTGTACTTCAGAGATCCTTATGTCCTGTGACGTCCCCTTCAACCTTGAAGAGTGGGCCTGTCACTTACTGACTGTCCTGGGTGATGTGTTGCCCGGCCGGCACACTGTAATGGCGCCTCTGTGTCCCTATAAAGCGAGGTGGCGTTTCCAGCCCCAAACCTGCCTGTGCCCCTTCTCCTGCAGGTGCGTGGACTCTTTTCAAACAAGCAGCTGAGAATCTGCGTCTCAGATGATCAGGCTGGCAAGTCGCCAACACTTACGAGGCGCCTGCTCTGTGCCATGCATTGTCCTAGGCTGTGTTTAAGATTCAAAAATAAAAGCTGAGCCCTAACTGGTTAGACTCAGTGGATAGAGCGTCGGCCTAAGGACTAAAAGGTCCCAGGTTCGGTTCCAGTCAAGGGCATGGCACATGGTTGCAT